GCCGGGTTCCACACTTATTTTTCTAATTTTTATGAAATGGGTTTTTTCCAATCAATTAGATGACGGGGCCGAAGACAACTAAATCTCTTTTATTGTTCTTATCTTCTTGTTTCCTCCATTGAGCTTCACTTATCAGCCGTGGGATGCCTTACACACTTATTCGGGTTTGATTTTTTGCAGTTAGCCACACTTTACCGAAGTGTTCTCTTAGGTTGAGGTTTCTGTCTCTTCACATATTTATAAAATTTGTCTTTGTAGCTGCTGAGAAAATTTTGGTTTTTCCAACTTTATGCTGTTTTTGCTTAGGACTTTTCTGAAAAAAGAAAAACCAATATTTTAAAATATTTTTATTCGAGGAGAACTAGAATTGCCTCATTGCCTCTGGATTCAAAAAAGTCAGTTGTTATCTTAGCGTATCAAATTGGTTTGGTTACTTGTTCTTTCTTTTTAAGTGACCTCTGCTTTTTTTTCATTTATCAAAAAATTTTTTTCTGCGCAACTTAGCTTAATCTTCTTAAGAAGAAGCTCACCTTTCGTGTTTCATATTAAAACTATTTCATTTTGAAGAGTTCTATTGTTACATAAGTAAATCTTGCGCTTGGGCAGCAGTTATCGGATATAGGTAGCCAGGGTGCCGGGAAAAAAAAATTTGCTTTGATTCTGTAGACATTTGAAGAAGTCATACATTAGCATCTTCAAAGCTATAGGTGCCGCATGAGCCTAAGTACTTCTTCCAAAGAGTTTTTAATCCATAGAGAAGAATGTGACTGAATGGTAGAGAATTGAACTTACGGGGAAATGAAATGATATTTTCTAAGCGATAAGCTTTTTCTCTTCATTAAGGGAGGGCGCATTTCTTTAATGCAATCTAGGGGTTTCCCTTAACAATCTCTTTTCTTCTATTTCAAATAAGGTCCTGCAAAAAACTTTCTCGAGAATACAAAAAAAAAGAAACGAATGCAGTTGGTTTCCAGTTTATGATTTTTCGTTCTCATCTGTGATTTTAATCTATCATTCCGGCACCAGTTGTTACTGTTGCGTGGCAGTTTTCTATTCGGTGATCTCTGTTTTTAGTTCGTCAACCGGGAGTCGTATCGTATGGCACGTGAATTCGTCATAAAGAATCAGTCCACCTTGGAACCATACATCCAGATGGTTTGTGCACTCAAATGTCGAAGCTTGTTAAAAGTACTAAAAAAGAACGTTGTCTTTACAGAAGCACGTTTCAGTTTTTGAATCACGGATTTGAATCGGAGCTCTTGGAGTGTAATTTAATAACAAAAAAAAGTATATCCTTTGTTGTCTTTGAACTTCATGAATTTGCCCCGGAAATTATTTATCCTATATTTGGGTCGATTGTTTGCAAGCTGAAGGTTATTATCTCGATTGATTATTTTTTAAAATATTTTATTTTAATATTTGTTTCTAGCACTGTTGTAATCAGAATCTTTTCAATATTGATGCGAGCAGCTAGGTGTAAATTTTTTTACTTTGCAGTCTGAAGACAGTGTAGTTCGTAGAGATATAGTTAAACTTTTGGGCCTTTTGTTTGGCTCTCAGAGGTCTAGGTTAGCAGAAGATATTCCTGAGCTATGGACTGCTTATATGGCGAGATATAATGATGTTGGTGAAGAAGTACGCCTCGTTTGTGTTACTTTGTCGCTTAATATCCTGATATATCATCCCGAGCTAAGGGGACAAGTTAGTGGTAGGATTTTACCATTGAAACTGGCGGATGCTTCTTTAAACCAAAAGATTGTTATTTGTAATTGCAAGAGGTGATTTAGGTTTGTTAGCTTTTCGATGTCATGACACTAATGACCGAATAAGGCTTGAAAGTCTCACTGTTATCCGTAAGCTTGCATTGTCTAAGTTTGAAGCCTTAAATGAAGAGTTGCTTAATTGTTTAGCAGGACGAATTCGTGACAAAAAGGTTAGATTTTTTCTTAAAAATTTGGTTTTTTGTCTTTCATGTTATTTTTTTTGTTACTCAAAATTTAATTGGAAATTTGGTTACCGAAGTCGAAGTTTACTGTTTTAGCCAAAGGTCCGTCAAGAAGCCATTCGAGCGGCTGCGGCTATTCATAAGTTGGTGTATGTGGGAGATCAGTTTACAGAATCAGAAAGAGCATCTGTGGCAGTGATTATGCAGCGTATTTTGAGTTTTTACTATCAGCCGTATCTTGATGACAGGTTTGTGTCAGATGTACTAGACCAAGAGTTTTAACGGGCTAAGCAACTCCTATTCTCTTGCAACGCCATCTTTAGGCTTTTAATTGAAAGGCTTTTTGTGTCGAGTTTTTTGCCCTTCAAAACCGATCCGAAGAAGCGTATGGCTATTCTTTTCGAGATGTTTTCTAAATTTGGCGACTTAGAGATCAGGTATGTAGAAGTTTAGAACTTGCAGGTGTTGTTTTTTTCCTTCATTACGGAGTGAAGGTTGAATTCTTTTTATTGCGTGTTTTTTAGTCATTAATCTTCAATTGAAACTTCGAACAGTAATTTTTTAAGAAGCTTGGAGGAGATTTTTTCTCAGCAATCTCGCTTTCGTCGTTTAATACGGGAAATTCTTCAAACTCTTGACGGTGAGGAGCAAAGTTTGGCTCTAATACAATCCCGGGTTCAAATAATTGCAGAATCTTATGGGACACCAGCGAAAATTGCAGTGTATTTTCAGTGAGTTTCATATTCTAAATAAATATAGAAGTTTTCATTCCGAGCGACCACTTTGTCTTTTTCACTCTTCTTCTACATTTTTAACAGCTTTTGTTTCATGTTTTTTATCGTTGTCGTTTCATTTCTGTAAACGCCTGTGGCTTTAGGCATATTTAGCGTTTCTTTATCTCCGATTCTTATAGAAAATTCTTCGAGATTGTTAATGAAGAGTCGGTGCTGCTTCAGCTTCTAAGATATATTTTCAGTCTTGAGTACAAATGCGAAAAGGTTGAGACAACCCTTGTAAGTTTCTCTTTTTTTATACACTTAGATATGTGCATTGGCTGTTCCACATCAAATAGCATACTTTCTTTTTTAGTTGGCCTTTTAAGTTTCTAATATTTTGCTAAATAGTAGACGTGAAACCTAAATTGAAGAACTGAAAAATTTTGTTTCAAAAATTGAGTTGACAAAAGAGCTGGACAGTAATTAATTGGAAAGAAAGTGATAGTCATTATACAAAATGATTCTTTGAAAGATTAAAATTATGTTCATTTGCAACGAACTTTTAAAGTCTATAATTTGTTTAATACTCTGCCTTTTAAATTCGGGATTGCTGTAGTGTCTATACAGCGAAATACACATACAGGTTTACAGCGAACGGTGTCCCGAAGTGAATTATCCAACAATGCAGTATTTTTTTTTGTTTGGAAAAGAAGTTGTATGCTTCAGATCAAGTCTCAAAGTTGTGAGTTGTCTTTATAGGGGCTGTGGAAATTACTGGTCTGAACTGAATCAAGATGGCAGAATCATATGTACATTTAGCGTATTTTTGGAATTTTTTGATTTTTGGGATAATTTTTTTTACTTCAAGTGTAAATCAAAGTGTAAATCAAAACCAAGTGTAAATCAAACCTGCGCCCTTGAAACAGTTAAAATACAGCACGAGTGCGAGCATTTCAATATTATGTGCTACTTTTCTTTCCGTACATTTAGAATCCATTTAATGCTTGATTTTAAATTTTGGATTTTCACTTGGAGGATGTTTCCTTAAAACATATCTTTTTTTTGGAAAACTAAATGGTGGCTTTTTTTAGGTGCAATATTTTGAAATTTTGTTGGTTTCTAAGTTCTTGTTCGTATTTCTTTGCAAAGATTTTGGTAAGTTTTGAAAACAGCAAAAGAAAATTGAAATTACAAGAATTTATTGTACTTGAAAAAACTTACAGGTTACCATGAAAGAACTTAATGCGCTTTTGTTCAACCTTTATCATTTTCTGACCTTACCGTCAATGTCTTTTTAAGACAGATTACTTCGATATTCCAGTTTGAGCTGAAGGCTTATAATCCAGCAAAGTTTCAAGAACTTTAAGAGGTCTACTGAAAAATGTGTAATGTTTGACGTGAAATGGTCCTTAAATTTGGCAATTTGGGTTACTTTTGCAAATCTCCTTGCTAAACTTTTTGATTGTTTTTAGGTTGAAGTCGTTCAGAGGCTGAGGAAAAGTAAACAGATATCCGAGGAAGGCTCTTCTACCGTTATAGGGTTCTTGGAAAGGTATGCACCCTTACAGTTCGACGCGGATGCTGTAGAAGAGTTTTTGCTTTTAGCCGTTGAGTTGCTGAAGAAGGAATTTTCTTCTAGCAGTGATAAAGAGGACAAGAAGGTTCTGAACATCCTTAGGCTAATACAGGTCTACTTTTTTACCAGCTTTACTTTTGCACTTCTTAACTGTAGTTCTTTATAGTCAGTAAAGCAAGCTATGGGCAAATTTTAAATTATTTCAGCTTTATTATTTGTAGTATACAGCATCTCACTTATATGGTTATTTTAGATCATCGCGGATAATTATGGACAGTTTATGTACACTGAAAGAACTTTAGAACTATTTGAAAAAACTCTCAAACTAGGGAATACATTGATAGGTACTTATTATCTTTTGGTAGCAAGGTCTTACTTAGAACATTGCGTGTGGTAAGGAAATTACGATGTATTATATAGTGAATTTTTTCAGAATCGTCTGTGTTGAAGATATTAGCACTCATACCGTATCCTGATAATACAGATGCTGCCGATTCACTTGGTAATATACGGGAGCGATTGATTGCTCATTTTGAAAAATATTCTCGAGAAGGCGATCCTCGTACTGCAAAGTACGCTGTACGTTGTATTGTGCGATTATGTGGCAAGGTGGAGAGTTTGGCAATTCTGGAAAAAATAGTTGAAGTACGTTTCTATGGTGTTTTTTGACTTTTATTCAATTACACAAGCTTGTTAAATTGCAAAATGTAATTCCTCTGTTTTTTTCCTAGTATCGATCTTTCAAATGTTTAAAATTGGCAGTCTGTGTCTTTGTCTTATGTCCTATATTCCTTATTATTACTGGCTTGAGTAGGAATAGAGCATTTTTTTACTTTCAAGATAAAGCTTCGTTGCTTTATAGGATTCTGTTTCTTGTATAAATTTGTCGAACAGCTACTGTGCTACGGCATTAAAAGCTCTTGGTTCCTGTTGCGCTTTCACCTCTCTTTATGTAAAGGAAAAATTTGGCGAATTGCTTACTGTAAGTTATTAGTTCATTGTATTCGTTCTTCATATTTCAGCTGAGTAGTTTTTTAAAGTTTTAAATTATGTGATGTTCAGACAAATGCATACAAAATTGTTCTTGGAGAAACCGATGAATTATGTGCTGAAAAGCAGCGTAGTATTGGAAAATCGGATTATTATATTCTCCATTACGGAAACTCGATGGATGAGGAATGCCTGCTACGGGTTAGTTAGATCCCACTTCTTTCTCACATACAAATTTTGATTATCTATCCTTGAAATTGTTTTGTTACTTTCGTTTAAGTCAGAGTTTTAGGTTTTTGCGATGCGTTTCCTTTGCGATTACTTGGTCTGCTTGAATCAAGCAAAAGCAGATAGCGATTATGTGCGGGTTCTTCTGTTAAAAACTTTGAAATTGTTTGAACAAATCCTTGAAAGTTATGGAACATTGGGATTAAAATCAAGGTAAAAACATCGGAAAATTTGTTATTGTAGTTTTGGGTTGGAATTTCCAGCTGGTTGACATAACATTTTTTTGTGTTTGAAGATTAGTGGTTTTACAGGACGTACGCTTTATTAATCATTTTCATTCCTACAAAATTTATTGTCAAATCATAATGGAGTCATTTTGAAGTTGTTGGTTTTGCAAATAATTATTTTTATGTTATTTTTTCCCAGTTTTGGTTTTTTATACATATATAGTTAAAAATTGCTCTGTTTGTCTATTGTGACTGCTAATTTTTCAATGTTCCATTTTCATTGCATTCCCATAAAATGATGTTTAAACCAATTTAAAGCTAATCTTCCACACCCCCCATCGCTCACGCTTGTCAGTTTTAGCATTTTAACTTCTGTTTTACTCTTTGACTCTTTTATGCTGTCACCGGCTAACTGTTCAGTTACATCTTGTCATTCCTATCGTTTTTACTTTGCAGGTCTTCCGAAAACTCAGCAGGACATATGCGTCTTATGGCTGGGTGTTGTATTGTAAAATTGGCCACAGTTAGTTCATTTGCAAGCTTCGTAACCGCTGACCAGATAGTTCTGCTAGGATCTCTTGTTCATGTTAGTTTACTCAATGCTTCCAAATGGGTCTTTTTAGTGTATTTTTGGAATATTGCTCGAGTATTTAGGATGATTTACGGTTTGTCCGTAAAAGATTCATTTGTAAACTCACAAAACATTTGAACAACATTCGGTTACCTGTGGAATATATGGGACTTTTTGGATTAGTTCCATTGGTAAAAGACGACCCAGATTTTAACGCCTCCGGTGCTTCGTTGTTTGAAGGTTGTATCCTTAGGAGGAAAAGATTCGTGACGAAAGAGAAGGCTGAGTCAATAGGTTATTCCTCCTTATTTTCCGCATTGATATTAAACTACTGGTTATTCAATGACGTAATTATTCGACACTTATTTTCGTCGCCACGCCGAATCCATTATATAATATTACAGTTTGTTGTAGTTTAGCTCTGTCTCCTTACCATAAGCCAGAATATGCTGTTGCCTATGGTTTGTATGTCTTAGCAAGGCAGAACACCTTAATTTCGCCATCTGACGTACCCTCTCTTCGTGAAATGAAAGAGTAAGTTTTTTTAATTTCTACAGGATTAAAATAATGATATAATGAGGAATTTTCTTTCAACTTCTAAGTTTTTCGTGGAACTGACTAAGACCTTTTGGACTTATGAAGTGTAATTTTTTAGATGCCTGTGGTTCCTTATTGGTGCCTTCCATCGAAAAGCTGATTCTACCAGTTTGGCTGAAATTACTTTGATCTTAGAGGTAAATTTTAGTTCTTCAATGCTGTCTGTGACTTTTTTAGTGTGCTTTTTCTGAGTTCTCTACTTATTCTTAGAATATCAAACTAATGGGGGATGCGGTCATGACGCATAATAACAAGGATGCGGCGGTGGAGCAGAACGAGGTATGTAGTTTGAGTAGAAGTGCAATGAATTTTCTTTATGTTATTGCTTTTTCTCGTTTTAGAAAATCTGGGCGCTTGCGGATGTTGGCCTTCTGCTGCTGTCTTATCGTATACCACCGATACCAGTCAAATCTTATTTCAAACCAAGGTTAAGCAAGCGGTTTTACATATCTCAGCCCCCAGCAAAGGTGAAAACTCGTTTGTTGAAGCAGATCTTCCCTAAATTTGCGATGGTTCTCTAAACTCAAAGTTCTCTCGAGCTCATTTTCTTGAAACAGAAAGCTAACTGTTCAGTGGAATCGTGTTACGAATGTTTACTGTATTTAGGATAAGCTTTACATTCCAAAAGAAATTGTTGAAGATGAAAGGAAAAAAAATATGCGACGGAAAAGAAATATATCAGGGTCTTCTACGCTAAAGACTGTCGGTGCAGAAAAATCTTTGTCAAAAACTGATGGTGCAAAAGATTTGCCGATTGAAAACGATTTGAAGAAGAGGTTTTCTTTACAAAAGTTCCATTAACAGGGGAACAGGCTCTGTTAGTTCTTTAA